GGAGCGGAGGGAGGGCTCTTCTACTTAGGCTAGGCCCAATGGAGATGGATTGGATTGGATTGGATTGGAATTTGGATGCCTAACTTAATTTTCTGGTAGCCAGGGCAAATTTGCAAACTCTGAAGTAGTAAAAATATAACTGTTTCCCAGGAGTGTACATATTTGTCTCAAGGAGATCTATTTGACAAGGATGCAGACGAGAAATCTGTGCCTTTGAAATTTACACAGTGGACAGATAAATACATAATAAGAAATATCCTCATTTTTACCAGGTCAACAGTTGCAAAACTTTTGGTGAGATGGGACATTATTAAACTACCTACAGAATGAAAGAAGTGTATATATTTGAGTCTTAGAGCTATAAATGATTTCCTTAGAGAGGCTACAGTGAGAAACAAAATATTCTACTAAACCAAATGTCATTTAATGTAGTGGATATCATATAGAATAAGGCATTTGTTTATCTGAGTACAAATCCTGTGGTTTTGAATAAAGATGGATTCTTTCTTTAAATAATTGTTTTACTATGGGGGAGGAGAAGGTTGGAAGAGCTGCAGTATTATTTCCATGGTTGAAGAATTTTTGTCATGTGCCTTCAGGTTGTTTCTGACTTAAGGCAACCCTATCATAGGTTTTTCTTAGCAAGACTTGTTTGGAGAGGGTTTGCCTTTGCCTTCCTGTGGGGCTGAGAGAGTGTGACTTGCCCAAGGGACAGGGATTCAAACCCTAGTCTCCAGTTGTAGCCTAACGCTCAAACTACTACACCACACTGGCTCTCAGTTTACCCAGTAGGATTATGATGAGGTTTGTAATTATTCTAAAGAACATTTTTTAACAAGTGGAATTCATTTGGACCAGCCAGCTTTAATAAGGCAAAAACAATATAGGTACAGTTTTCTATAGAATGCAGTCCTGTTTCAGCATTTTGGGAAACTCTGTTCTTACCCACTCTGAAAAGGATGGCTATTTTCTCTTTCTCAGCTTTTGATAAGCTTCTTGCAACTACTGATATGGTTGGCATCTTAGGGCCTTTGAAGTCTGCCAGAAATAGTGCACATTAAATTGAGTCACTGTCCTGGCTCAGTGCTAGGAAGTCATGGGAATTGCATATTTTTTTTCTGAGACATTGAGCCTTCTCTGTCAGAGAGCTCTGGTGCCACAATAAATTACAGTTCCCATGATTCCCTAGCACTGAGCCAGGGCAGTGCCTCAATTTAATGTGCACTATTTCTGGCAGTCTGCAAAGGCCCATAGTTTTAATATTCAGTAGGTTGTAATCATGCATCACGGTGTTGCTGCTGCTTCTCTCTGTAACTGGCATACGGTATGATCCAAAATGTAGATTAAGTCAAATAATTGTTGGTAGTTTGTTTAGAATCACAACAACGAGAAAACTTATAGCCTGAACTAGAAGTGCAGATTTTTGTGAACCAAATTGGTCCAATGTAAGATTTTAGACTAATCTAGAAGAACCCATTATATATTATTTATTTATTTAATTTAATAACAACAACAACAACAACAATAATAAATTTTATTTATAGCCCGCCTCTCTGCGGAGCAATCGGGGCGGGTTACATCAATTAAAATACACATGTTAAAAACATTCACATTCCCATCCAGCCCTCCCACCCCTCAAAACAGTATTAAACTAATTATAAATTAAAACAA